CAGCTGGGAGCTGGGCCAGCGCCACCTAGGGGGAAGCACTGGTTATCCTGGGTGAGTACCATGGCTGCCCTTCCTTCTGCACTGAGTAAGGTGGAATTGCAGATGTGCAGGGAAGCATTTCTGTACTTAACAGTTTCAGTGTTCCACTTTCTAGGGAAACCTAGCTACCATTTAAAATTATTTGGGACCTTAAAAAAAGGACTGTGGTGCCTATTGTATTCAAGACTAAGACCAAGGGCCAAGGAGATTCCCTGCCTCTAGGTAATCTGCAGAGTTAAACTGTCATGGTTTGGAGCCCCAGTCAAAGGGGCAGGTTCTTCCAAAGTACCTGGCACACCTTTGCTGTTGTGGGGTTGTTCTGTCCTCTGCCAGTCTGTGAGCAGTCAGAGGGTGACATCTGTTTGTCACCTCTCCTTATCTCTTGTTGCTCAGGGTAGCACCTTTAAGAACAGGGTAGTTTAGCACTAATGTGAATCTTCAGGGCATCTGTGGGTTCTCAGCTATAACTGGCTGTTTTAATATGGATTTAATCCTGATACTCTGGTCTTATTTCTACTGCTTGACCATGACATCCTCAAGGGGGTGTTCCTCCCGCAATGCTTCTCCAAATACCTGGCCTGGTGCAAGCATCCAATCTGTGATCAGTTCCTGTATTTATTGCCCTCCAGCCCTGCGCAGATTCTGTGTTGGTTGCTGGGGTCACATGGAAGACCCAGGTCAGAGGAAGACAGAGCTGTACTCAACCTATGGAAAAATTGACCCTGTGGCCATAAGGGGTATGGCCAGGATCTGCAGAGGGCCATCTTACTTTCTTAGCCCTGCAAGCCCTCCTGCTGTGTCTCACTGCCTAAATGTCTTTTTTTTACAGGTGGGATTGCAGAATAGGGCCCCCGGGGTCCTTCCCAGCACAGACTATTATTTTATGACCTATATATAAACATTAAAATAACTATAAGTTTCATGTGGTTTGTGGACCTGTTGATTTGGCTTAAGCTTCTTGGTTAGGGGTCATCTTGGCAAATCTCTTGTCTGAGTCGTTTTCCTGTGGTTCCCATATGTAGATTAGTAACTAGTTTGGCTAACAAGTAACTTTGGAAAGATCCAACAGGTGGTACTGAGCTGCTTTCCTGCGTGGTTGAGTTCAGAGCTCAGTCACTGTCCATGACACAGTTACTATGTAGGAGGAGTGCGCTTCATGGGTGCAGGTAGAAATGTCTTAGGGCCAGCTGTTTTCCCCTGACCAATTTGAGATTATTGACGTATGTGAAAATGTAAGCTTCCTAAGAGCCAGGCTCATGGCCACATATCTTTTGTGTTTCCATAGCCTCCAGGGCAGGGCCTTGCACATCATAGAAGTAGGAGAATGAATGGGTGATCAGTGTAACACATTTGAAGGGTAATTTGTATGCCATTCGGTTACTGAGAGTGGTGCCAGCAGAGAGGAAATCGCACAAGTCAGCAATGCCTGGTCTGTTTTTGGTAGAGTTGATGAAACATGATTTTTACATAGTGATCTAAAATTAGATCACTAAATTTTGAAGGTCATTTCCCACTTACAGTTTACCAGGTGTAAGCTGTCTGGTGATCATAGGTGACTTTTTCCACCGTTCTCCCATGTGAACCCCACACCAAACTGCCTCTTGTCTAAACTTGTCCTGGAGCTCAAAGTTTGGAGGTTAGGGAGAATGAACCCCCTACTCAGGAGGCTGAGGCAGGAGGATCACTTGAGTCCAGGAGTTTGAGGCCAACCTGGGGAACATAGCGAGACCCTATCTCTAAAAAAAATACATATATAATAACAAAAAGAGGGAAAATTCCAAGTTGAGGTGGAGAACTATTTATTTATTTATTTATTTATTTTTGAGACAGAGTCTCAGTATGTCGCCCTCAGAGTGCTGTGGCATCGAAGTTCACAGTGACCTCCAACTCTTGGGCTTAAGTGATTCTCTTGCCTCAGCCTCCCAAGTAGCTGGGGCTATAGGCACCTCCATGACACCGGCTATTTTTTGGTTGTAGTTGTCATTGTTGTTTAGCTAGCCTAGGCTGGCACCCGCCAGCCTTGGTGCATGTGGCTGGTGCCATAACCACTGTGCTATAGGCACTGAGCCGTGGAGAACTATTTATCAAGGGTAGACTATACCAGGTCAAGGAGGAGATCACATGGTCAAGGGTAAACTATTCAAGGTCAAGGGTAGATCATTCCACATCAAGGGGGAATACTAGGTCAATGGCTGGGGGTGAAGGGTGGTAACTATTCCAGGTGAAGGAGGCAAATGCAGGGATGGGTCCAGTGAGAGAGGAAGCATCTTAGTTGAGTATGGGACTCTAAGTCTGGACCACATACTTGTCATCTGTCCGAGGCATGGATGAAGAGCTTAGGTACAGGTGCTAGTCCAACTTTATTATCTAGTCTGTGGTCATGACATGTAGGAGACAGTCTGATATAAGTCATTTGTATAATGACAGCAGTTGAAAGAGATGAATTATAATGTACTGTCAAGTTAAAACTAGTCATAAATTGTTGACATATATTTTGCTTGCTCACGTCATATCAGATATACACTCAGAGCTTTACCTGGATCATTTTTTTTTTTTTTTTTTGAGACAGAGCCTCAAGCTATCCCCCTGGGTAGAGTGCTATAGAATCACAGCTCACAGCAACCTCCAACTCCTGGGCTCAAGCAAGTCTCCTGCCTCAGCCTCCCAAGTAGCTGGGACTACAGAC